TTCTTGGGCTTCATGGGGTCCCTCTGGCATGTCCTGGTCATCTGCTGTTGTCTCCCCCTAAAGGTCTCCCACTAAGAGGTCCCTTTTTACAAGCCCCACACGGATATAATAAAAGGACAGTCCACTTTCTATCGGATACCAGCCTTAATCTTCAGAATTCAGAAGACAGAGAAGATTCCCTTTCCTCTATGTTTTGCTGTGGTTATTCGGTTTGGGCTTAAAAAACAAACAAACAACAACAACAACAACAACAAAAAAGAAAAAAAAGGCCTGTTTTGATTTTGAGTTAACTGGCTTCATTTTTCCTGCTTCTCTCAGCTCTTCTAGAGCACTTGAGTCTTCTCCAGACGTTGTGCTGTGCGCGGTGGTGCGTGTTGGGTACCGCGCTCCAGTCATTTCACAGTACTTTGTCTAACTGAAGATTGGAATCCATAAAGATTATAGAATTCAGTGTGAAGTGGTTTCTTCAACCTCGAGGGAATGGTCTCCTCCTGTTTTTCCATTTCTCTTAATCCAAAGTGGAGAAAAAGCATCCTTTTCATAGAATCAYAGAATGCTAAAGGTTGGAAGGGACCTCAGAGGTCATCWAGTCYAACCCCCYKGMWCAYGCAGGGTCACCTAGAGCAYGTGGCACAGGGYTGCATCCAAGCGGGTTTGGAGGATCTCCAAAGAAGGAGACTCCACAACCTCTCTGGGCAGCCTGTGCCAGGGCTCTGTCACCCTCACAGTCAAGAATTTTTTCCTTAAGTTCCTGTGGAACTTTTGGTGCCTCAGCTTGTGGCCATTTCCTCTAGTCCTGTCGCTGGCCACCACTGAAAAGAGGCCGCCCCCTCCTCCTCACTGCCTCCCTTGAGGTATTTATACACGCTGATCAGGTCCCCCCTCAGCCTTCTCTTCTCCAGGCTGAACAGACCCAGCTCTCTCAGCCTTTGCTCATAGGGCAGATGTTCCAGGCCCCTGATCATCCTGGTAGCCCTGCGCTGGACTCTCTCCAGCAGCTCCACATCCCTCTTGTACTGGGGAGCCCAGACCTGGACACAGTACTCCAGATGTGGCCTCACCAGGGCTGTGTATAGGGGGACAATCACCTCCCTTGACCTGCTGGAGACGCTCTTCTTAATGCACCCCAGCATCCCATTGGCCTTCTTGGCCACCAGGGCACACTGCTGCCTCATGGTCAACTTGTCGTCCACCATGACACCCAGGTCCCTCTCTGTGGGACTGCTCTCCAGCAGGTCCACCCCTAATCTGTACTGGTGTCTGGGGTTATTCCTCCCCAAGTGCAGGACCCTGCGCTTGCCCTTGTTGAACTTCGTGAGATTTCTCGTCGCCCAGTCCTCCAGTCTGTCCAGGTCCCTCTGGATGGCAGCACAGACCCCCCTTTTGGTGGGGCCTTGATCATGAGGGCTCTGTGAGTAGCCAGCATACACTGTAATCACCAGCTTCCCAAACTGGAGATGTAGTAATGAGCTGGGTTTGAATTTCTCTGTGTACTTGTCTTGAATATGCTGGCCTCTCCCAAGGGAATCATGCAGCTCTTTGGGCCAGGAGGGAGGAATGGCTCCATTTCCAGCACCTCCTCATGGCTTTGGTCCGTGTGGCAGTTTTGAGTTTTGAGATGTTCAAGGGGCAGCACCCATGGGGAAGGAGGAGGGACCCGTGGCGGGCTGCGAAGCACGTCAGGCCACGGGCAGCGTAGGGTGGCGTGCACTTCCTGACGGCACGAGGGGTAGAGAGGTGCGTGCAGTGTCCATCCCTGCGTGCTGCACTGCTAACGGGCCCTGGGAATCCAGGCTTGACCTGCTGCCTCCCGCGGGGGGCTTCAGTGTTTCGCTTCCATTTCTGACCTTGCTGTCTTCCCTAAAGTTAGTGTGCTCCTAAAGTTAGTGTGCTCCTTGCTAGCTAACGATGTAGCACCAGCACCGGTAGCTAATGATATAGCACCAGCAATGGAAGCCGCTGTCTCCTTCCTTCCAGTAGCTAGTGATTAGGTACTTTTAATATTTAAGTAAAACCTGCAGTAAAACTTGTTATTCCTACTCTGAAACTTTGATAAATCAACATAAAAAAGTATTCAGAAGAGCAACAATGAAGAGAAGATTTTATCGAGGAAGAAGACTTCGTGTTGCAGCTTTTGAAATGCCACTTTAATAGAAATATTAAAATTGGGGTTGAGGTTCCATCTTTTTAAACATTTTATGGATCTTTTACTAAACTTAAGAATTATAAAGGGTGCTAATATTTGCTGTTTAAATATTGATATCTCACTATTTGGAAATAGCATAGTAAAATTGCATATTGAATCATGTAGAAAAGTATTCGTTTTCCATTTGAAATTACATGTGTGCAAGGCATATGCTTTAGAAAGTGTGTATTTCTTGTTAGATTGCATTTTTCTTTATTGAGTAGTTTTATATTATTATTTGCTGTGATTTGCCAAATCTTTAACCCATTAAAATGACTCAAAGACAAACACACATAGTGAGATGCATCAGCTTTGCAATTGATGAGCAGTTCATAAGTTGATCAGCAATTAATCTGTGGAAAAGCCTACAGAGATGATGGCAAGTAATTGTTGCTGTGAAAATCACATAAGGCAAAGGGACAAATACTGCCATGCTTGGAACTGTGATAACTTCAGTTTTGCAACTGAGAACAGTTATATTTTTTAAATGCAAATATGTTACTTGTATGTTGGAGTCTGTGTTTCTTTGATAGCTCAGGAACGGGTGGCAGCTATTCCCTACTAGTTGCAGCTCTCAGTATCTTACAGTTTGGGTGGCTTCAGGGTATTTCTGGTTTGCCACTTAGCTCTTCTGTGACTTTGGCCAAGTTGGGTCAGTTTTCTCCTCTTGTCTGCAGGATCTTCCTTGGCTTGTTTGCTTGAACTGCAGTGTGTTCCGGACAGGAGGTTCCTCTTGTTCCATACAAGCGTATTGCTCTGTGCAAGAGTGTCCCACTCTTGTCTGTATCTGCAAATAAATTCTACTATTTTTTAAAAATAAACTTGTGTTAATATTTGCAGATCTGGAACTGTTGCAAGAGCGTGAAAGAACTTGCTTTTAGCCTTGCTCACCAATTGACTAGCTGGCTCTCTGTTGGAGAGCATGTTAATATTTGGGTTATGCTGTCAGTGAATTCACTGGGAAAAATACTTTATTTCATTAGAGGCTGAATTGGGGAGGAAATCCATTGCTCCAAAGAGCATTGTTAATGTGTAAATGCATGAACAACAAGTTGAGTTTGTTGGTGTGCTGTTGAACCTCTGAAATGCTGTCTCAATTTTATTTGTCTGTATTCCAGGGGAAAAAAAAAAGAGCCAGTTACAAAGTGAAGCAGCTCGGGCAGAGATTTGCATGTAATCACATGCTGTGTGGAATATTCGGCTGCTCTGATGCCAGATTCCAGTATTGCTGCTCAGCTGTTCACGAAGACAGGCTCAAAGACCCTGGGGGTTCGCACGTTTTGAACACGTGGCCCGTGCGGAACTTGATGTTGCAACGGTCACGTGGAGCTTCCTCGCTAAGCGCGGTGGCTGCGGCTGAGTGTTTGAGGGGACTCGGAGCAGACCTGCCCGCGGCGGGCAGCAGCCGCCCGGCGGCGGCGCCAGCGGCCGCCCGGCTCGCAGGGCGCTGGGGGCACCCGCGGCGGACAGGAGGGCCCGCTGAGACACTCGCGGCTCTTGAACAGTCTGGAAGGAAGTTTCATTAGGTTGGAGGGACAGAAACCAAAGAAGTTATTCCTTTCCTCTAGACAACATGCATTAAAATTTAAGCAACTTTGGGTCTGCTCTCATTTCTGTCTTTTTGTTTGGGTCACACCCCGCTTGCTGCCTAGGCTTTGCACGGTGGAAATATTTAGTGCTGCTTTTTGCAGCAAGGTCCCTGCCGTTGCAGTGGCAGTTCTCTGCAGGCACGGCCACGCGGTCTGCGCAGCACAAACAAAGCTCCTGCACCACTCCTCACATCTAGGAGTCTAATCTCTGCAGCATCAGCAAGGGAGGTGCTGCATGCATCTTTGGTTGCTTTCCTCTGCTTTTAAATGGTGTGTTAACACTTCACGGGACAGGCCAGACCCTTATAAAACTTACTAGAAAAGTAGTTAGTTACTTTTAGTTAGTTAGTTAGTAAGAAATTTAAAAAGGCTTCTGTGACTTCCCCATGGCAATTCTTGAGAATCTTGCAGATGGGCTGTAGAGTTAAGTGCCTAAGTCACTTGTGTGACAAAGTGAATCAAGTGACAAGACTAATCATAGCTGGAAACACATCTCTCTTTTTTCTTTTTTTCTTAAAATACACTAATGGAAGATAATTTTAGTGAAATTCCAGCTAATCTTGTTGTTTTTAAAGGTATATCCTTAAAATATTCTTGTGGTAAGAGATGTTTAGTTTATTTATCCTCAAAGGATTAAGGCTGCAGAAAGTCTTAGTGAAAGAACTGTGACACGGTCCCTGTGTAAAGGGGCAACATGCTGGCTCGGCACAGCTGCTTTATTGCACTGCCAGGAAAGCTGCAGAAAGGTTAGATTTGGTATCCCTACACTTACTCATCAGGTGCAACTTACTGCATCTGTAGATTTAAGATGTGAATAAAAACCATGTGACTCCAATTCTGACTCCGCATCTCCCTCCTTCTCCTCCTTTCCTAATTCTGCTGTGGGCCGCTGTGGTGCAGGGTATTCCTGGATCTCCTAACTGTTTTTTTTTCCTCGGTATAAAAAAATAAATGAGGTCTTGATTGGCTTTTCATGACAACTGTTGCTCTAAAATACGTATTTTCCTTGGAAGTAACGAGGTTTTGGAGTAGGTGCAGACAGCTGGAGGATGCAAGGTGAGTAGCCCGAGCTGCTCCTGTCATTGTGCCTGCTCTTTCTCCTTGGATCTTGCCAATATGCATATTTCTTTGCTCTCCTTTTTATGCTAGTAAGCTTTTGATAAGTCTCATTCTGCATTTGACACTTTTTCCCTCACTCTTAAATGCCTCTCATCATCTCTTTACAGCTGGGTCTCGGGCATCTTACAGCAGCCAGCACAGCCACCTGGGCTCCGAGCTGAGGGCACTGCAATCTCCAGAGCACCACATAGATCCTATTTACGAAGACAGAGTTTACCAGAAACCCCCTATGAGGAGTCTCAGCCAGAGCCAGGGGGACCCTCTGCAACCAGCACACACAGGCACATACCGCACTAGTACAGGTAGGTGCGTGGAACTTGTGTGACTGTCTTTTCATGAGCTGTATTTTGTTCCCCAGTGCTAATTCTTCTGCTCTTTTGGATGTGCTAAACAAAGTGCGTTATGTGTGTGCCAGGCAAACAAGATACCTCTTGCACGACAGCTACCAAGAGAACCCTAAAAGCATGCATGAAATGTAAAATACTTAATCTTGTGCTATATATACAGGGTGGGCTAAGCTGATTGGGTAAGGGGACTTATTTTTAAGGAGGAAGAATTTTTTTTGCTGATCTTGTGTATTATCTACAAGAAAAATCTTTCTGTTCTGAAAAAATGCCTAGTTTTTTTTTCTTTTACTCACAAGGAAATCTTTTATGTTGCAAAAGATCTTGCAGAACTTCCTTCCATGTGAAGCTGAAGGCTTCTGCATGTATTTCTTAAAGTCAGTCCTAAGCACAGTAGATGTTCTGCTGTCAGGCAAAGGGCCGCTTAAGTATATGGGTATAAAATGAAACTGTAGCTTCAGAAAGAGTTGTTAGCACCACCGATTTGTCCATAAAATAGTGATTGCCCATGAAATGCATTGATGCACAAGTCCTACTTGCAGAATGTCCTCTCCGCCAAATTAAATACAGCTGTTTGTTGCTGCCCACAAATAGATCAAATAAATCAGCAGGGATATTTATGGTATTTAATGCACAGAATAATTAGGATACATAAATGCCACAGACAAAATAGCCTAAAGCAGATGGAGAAAGAATTTGCCTTAGGAATTGTGTTCCTGGTGTTTTATCACTGCTGTGTTGATCAAACAGCGATGATTGTGTCCATTCCCAGGTCGCGCCCATTTTCACCAACAGAACTGAGGGAAAACAATTGAATATTTTGGAACAAGAATCTTTGCTTTCTTTTAAAAGTTCTTAAAAAAGAGAAATCTCTAAGGGCAAAGCTGGCAGTTTTTTTGTCTCCAAAATTCCTGTTGTTTATTTGAAATTTTGGGTGCTAGCATGCAAGGGAAAATCCTTAAATAGAAATTACTCCCAGAATTGTGAAGTCAAATACCTGTAACAGCTATGGAATTTTAAGGAATCCCACTTCTGTTACTTGCCTGCATAAAAAGCCATGTATGTATGTTTGCATTGAGTCCTATGTGTATATATGTCAAAAGATGTTGATATCTGTCAGGAAGGGGACAAAACTGAGCAGCAGAGGCAGCGATAGTGAACGAAGGAGCTGTTTACACAGGACTTTCATCCTCATGTTCAGCGTGTGGCCTTGTGTATCCCATCCGTTCTTCCCCAGGTCTTACAAAACATCCCCCAGGTGTCTCAGCAGCAGTAGTAGGCTGCCTTGTGACTGTTGTGCACTGTTATTTTCACAACACCCCCATAACCAAGGAAAGCTTGTGATCACAGATAATTACAGTGAATGGAAGTGGGGCACAGGATGTGTGCGTGTCATTCCTGAGGAGGGTTTTCCGGGGAAGATCTACAGAAGACAGCCCCAGGTTGGCTAGTGTAGGTAGCCTCAATGCCGTTGAGTTGTGTTGGGAGATGGGTGTTAGTGCATTGCTGCCCATGTGCTGCAGAAAGGCCCCCCGTGAACTGGGCTTCCTTGCGGGGTGATCCTGGCTGCTGTCCGTCCAGCACAGAGAGGCTTGCTGAGCTTGTCTTGCCCAGAGCAGGGGGTTTGGAGCGACCTCCACTTGACTGCTCCTGCCTCTGCCACAGGTATCTGAAGGACTATTGTTTCTTAACACGGAGGAGACAGTGCAGCTTCCTTCCCCTCAAAGTAGCAGGGTAGATGGGTGTCCAAATGAAGTTTGGCACATGGAATTCCTGGTTTCTTTGCTGGGTTATCTGAGTGCTTTTTAATGTGGGATTGGGTAGTTGGTTTGAGTGCTCCTGGGGGATGTGAGGCATGCAGATTGGTGTGTGCTCCCTGAAGGTGGGTGCCAGGGTCTGTGCCTTGTGTGTCTGGTGTGCGTGTGGCGGGCAGTGGAGGAGGAGGAGGGGGCACAGCACTTCTAGAGACCATAGCTCACATTCTCTTAGCAAATCCCTGTCTTTAGTTTTGGGAGCCTGTTTGCCAACCTCTGGTGAAATCTTAAGAATTCCCAGATATCTATTGTATACTTTTGTGCCCTGTTGCTAAACCAAAAGCTAATGTCACTCCAAGAAACTGCTCAAGGATTTTATTGATGTACTTCGGTGCACAAACATAGCTAAATGAGTCATAGGAGCACAGAAAGGTAAACCTGGTTTTAGGCCTTATGTCCCTGACAAAGGCCAGATTTTTTTTTCCTCTGCAGCTGATGTTAACCATTTGAAAGGAAAATAATGCTAGTTATGCGTGCACGCCATTTGTTTCTGGACTGCCTTTGAAAAGACAAAGCACTTCCCAAATCTGAAAATTTCACTTAATCTTCAAGGTTAAGTTACAACTAAGTAGAAAAGCCCCCTCAGTTTCATGTTACCCCGGTGATTCAACATTCAGTGAGCAGAGTTTTTCTGTGAGTTATTATTTTTATATTTAATCACTACATTGTTTGAACTTCTTTATTTTTTCTCGTATTTTACTAATGTACAAAATGTATGACCATAGTAAGGTCTATGGTAAGGGCTACCTATTAGAATAAGATGTTTAAACACTTTGAAATTTAAATTATCACTGTGTGCACTACTGTTATTCTGTCCAAGCTAAGAATAATCTTTCAGTATTTCAGAAATAGCTGCAAAGGGATCTTTGGCTTGTGCTTTTTGGCTGTGACTTTTACACAGGCACCCCTGCAGTGTGGGGAGGGTTGCTAGTCAGCAGAGGGGAAGAATTGTCTTCCATCCGGAAGGGGCATGGAAATACAGATAGGTTTCATTTGAATTGTTTAATCTGTGGAATTAGGAGACAGGACTAGGGATCCAGTCCTATCCCACTTCGTTATTGACAAATGATGTTAAACATGAAGCAAGTCCAAGCGGGTAGGATCTCGGTATTTTACAAGCCTGGGATTTCCATAGCTTCCTTGGACAGAAAGCAGCTTCCTTCAATCCCGAGCTGCCGCTTCCCACCTCCAGCACAGGAAGGCCAGTGTGGCAGCAGCGTCACCTGTGAAAGGAATTGCTGTTTTATTGCTCTGAGGAGGCTGAGAGCACCACCTTTGGAAGCTTGTAATGACATTCGTGGCCCTCAGGGTGCCTCAATGGAAGAGAAGAGCCCTTTTCTGTGAAGAGATGTTATTTTGGTATTTGAAACCCTCCCCAAAGTGGGTCTGTGGCTTCATCACTGAAAACAAAAGCAGGTGCTGCTGCTGTAAACCTGAGGTAGGTGCTGGAGAGCTGCACACACACAGACCTGCGCCGGAGCAGGCCCATGTGTCCCAGCGGCCGAGAGCCTCTGCCAGGGCCCCACGCGAGCGGAGCGGCGTGGAAGAAGCTGCCGTGGAGCTGCCTCCGAACTGCCCCGTGTCCCTGCGCACCCCCCAGCCACTGGGATGTGCCCTGAGGCCTGGCCCGTGCCACGAGGCCTGGTGCATGTGTGTCCCGGCCGCTCCGGAGCCGCCCTCATGGGCGCTGGGTGCAAGTGGTAGTGCCACGGCTGCCATGCCGAGATGGGCTGGCTCCTTCCCTCCGCTCCGGCTGCCCGGAGGGTCACGGCCCTGCAGAGTTATCCGGCAAAAAGAGGCCCTGCCAGAGGAGCTTGAGGGCTTGACGTTAACCTCTCGCGCGGGGCAGAGGGCAGCGCGGCGGGAACCACCTTTGTGGCCGGCTGCCGCCGCCTGGGGTTTCTGCTCAAGTGGCAGGAAACATTGCACGTTTTTTAGCCTCCTGTGAGGCAATGGAGAAAAAGCCTCTGAAAGCGAGGAACACGAGTACCTGCCTGGAGAGATGCAGTGCTCCGCCTCAGCACCTCCCTTCCTCCCTTCCCTCCCTGCTGCATCCTTCGCTGACTGATGGAGAAGAACCCGCTCCCAGGAATGGCTGGGCCGAGCACTGCTCTTTGCTGCTCCTCGTGTCAATGCATCCTCCTTGGCTGACTGACGGAGAAGAACTTGTTGAATGGGAGACGAGTCCTGGGAGAAAAACCCAGGAATGGCACGGGCTGAGCACTGCTCTTCGTGGCCAGAGGGGCCCCTTTCCTCTCAAAACCGCCCCGCGTCCAACCTGGGAACACCCGCTCTGCCCTTGGCCTGACAGTGCTGCACAGTTGGTGAATAAGTAAGTGCACTATAGTGGAATCCATAGCAGTGCGAATTGACAAAGTTTTTCTGTCTGTTTCTAGGGATAAACTATTCTTTTAACCATTTCAGTCCAATTTAGTACATGTTAGTAACAGTATCCAAGTAATAGCTAAGATAGGAGAGAGTTTTTAAACAGTTCTTTTGAGAGATACCTTTGGATAGTCACAGAATCACAGAATATTCAAAGTTGGAAGGGACCTCTAAAGATCATCTAGTCCAACCTTCCCTCTCAAGCAGGCACACCCAGAGCACGGGGCACAGGGCGGCATCCAGGCGGGTTTTGAAGACCTCCAGAGAAGGAGACTCCACAACCTCCCTGGGCAGCCTGTTCCACTGCTCTGTCACCCTCACAGTGAAGAAGTTGCTCCTCACCTGGAGACGGAACTTCCTGTGCTCCAGCTTATGGCCATTACCCCTTGTCCTGTCACTGGCCACCAATGAGAAGAGCTTGGCCCCTTCCTTCCTGCATTCTCCCTTCACGAACTTATACATGTTAACCAGATCCCCTCTCAGCCTTCTCTTCTCCAAGCTAAACAGGTCCAACTCACTCAGTCTCTCCTCATATGAGAGATGTTCCAGTCCCTTAATCATCTTTGTTGCTCTCCGCTGGACCCTCTCCAGAAGCTCCACGTCCCTCTTATACTGGGGAGCCCAGAACTGAACACAGTACTCCAGGTGCGGCCTCACCAGAGCTGAGTAGAGGGGCAGAATCACCTCCCTTGACCTGCTGGCAACACTCCTCCTGATNTAGAGGGGCAGAATCACCTCCCTTGACCTGCTGGCAACACT